GCCGCACTGTCGGAGGGTCGGTGCTGAGGGTGTGCCGCACTGTCGGAAGGTCGGTGCTGAGGGTGTGCCGCACTGTCGGAGGGTCAGTGCTGAGGGAGTGCTGCACTGTCGGAGGGTCGGTGCTGAGAGAGCCCTGCACAGTCAGAGGGTCAGTACTGAGGGAGTGCTGAGGGTATGTTGCACTTTCAGGCAGCAAGTATGAAATGCTTAATTATTGTCTCTCGGATTTTATCTATAACTGTGGTCAGAATTAATCTAGAGTTCCTTTTCCTATTGCTCCAATACTATTATTGTGTCATGTTCTGTTCTTCTATACCCTAACATGAAACATCAACAGGTGGGGCACGAGGTACAGCAATGGTGTCCCAGCTAGAGTTACAGCCTCTTGGGAGGGGAGTGTGTGACACTAGGAGGACAGGGGTGGTGTTAATGGTTATGTCATAGGGCCAGGGACTAGTAATCCAGAGGTCAATGCCCTTGAAACGTAGCTTCTAACCCCGTCATGCCTGCTAGAATTTACATTCATATTTCTGGATTTATTTACATTCATATAAATCCAGTTTCAGTGATGGTAACCCTGATACCGTTATCAAATATTGTAAAAGCCCACCGAGTTCATGAAAGTCCTATGGTGAAGGAAGTCTACTATCCTTACCTGGTCTGACATACATGTGACTCCAGACCCATAGCAATGTGGCTGCTGCTTGACTAAATGGCTAAGCAAGCCACTCAGTTCATGGGGCAGTTGGGATGGGCGTCAACGATGCCATGTAGAAATAAATCATTTTTTTTTCCAGAAGACTCCAGTTTTGAGAGTGCAGCAATGCGTTTCATTATTAGGACAATCTGGGTCCGGGATCTTGCTGAGCCTGTGAAGTGTGGGGAAGGAGATGAAGTAAATTAGACCACAAATCCAATGTCGATTGTTGGAAAAACCCATCTGGTTCACTAATGACCTTTAGGGAAGGAAAACTGCCATCCTTACCTGGTCTGGCCTACATGTGACTCCAGACCCACAGCAATGTGGTTGACTCTTAACTGGCCTCTGGGCAATTAGGGATGGACAATAAATGCTGGCCTGTCCAGTGATGCCCTCGGCCTGTGAGTGAATTTTTAAAAAAATTTAGTGCTCTAGTGAGGCCAAGCTTGGGTTTCAAATTTCTGCATTTGTAGGGGGAGGCAATGTAAGGGTCAGGGGAGAGGCCCAACAGAGTCTGAGTCAGCAGCACGACCCATCGTAAGGTCAGCACTTCATTGAGTTCCACTCGATTATCGCTGGAAATAAAGGATTCCCATTTCCATAGCCTCTTTCACAACCCCAGGACTTCCCAAATTGCTTCACAGCCAACAAAATGGCTTGATGCTTGACACTTGTCTTGTAGGAAACACAGCAGGTCATTTGCACAGAGTAAAATCTCACACTGAGCAAGGAGGTAATGGTCAGATTCTTGCTCTCAATGGGGTTGATTAAGAGATAAATATTGACCAAGACCAGGAACACTCCGCGATGAGTGCCATAGGATCTTCTCCACTCACTGGCCTCAGACTCTCATCCCTGCCTTCATATCTTCCAGATATGACTCTCGCCACGCTGTCCCACTGGCCTCTCAGTCTCCCTTTTTCTTCAATTTCAGCCCACCTTAGCCCTCTCTCTCAGTTCATTTTCTGTTGACCTACAGAGGCCTCTGGTCTGGCCTAAGGCTTCCATTTCAAACTTTTGATCACTGATTTCAAGCCCTTCTAGGTCCTCCCCCTCCCTGCCTCTGTAGCCTCCTTTAACCGCTCCAAGATAGCTGCACTCCTCTAATCCTGATCTCTTCAGCACTCCTGCTTTATTCACTCATCTATAGCAAGTATGTTGCTGAGGCCCTTAGCTCTGGATCGCCCCTCCTGCAAAGCTCTCCACTTTATTTCTCTCCTTTAAGAAGCATCTTGAAATTATGCCTTTGACCAAACTTTCAGTCCCTTGTCCCTGCATCTATGAAAGGTGAATGATTTATATGTAACTTTTAGAGTTTGGATTTCAAACAAGTGGCAACTTGGTTTCTTTCTTAAGAAGGATCTTTTAAAAAAAATCTAGGTCAGACAGGTCCTCTGAAATAATGATCTAATCCAACCTGTGCCAGAGAGAAGGTGGGGGATTGGAGTCTCAATGCAATAAGATGTTTACATGTGAGATTTATAACACGTTCCTCTTCCTTATTTACTCGCTGCTACCATTGATCACAACAGGGTTAATTTAAAAGTGATCCCTTCCCTTTCGCCCAAACCCAAATTAACTTATGTTTTAAAAGAAGCCAATTTCACTAGATCTTCTTGAGTTAAGAGTGAGTGAGTTTATTAATTGCTGAAAATGAGGAGAATTAGTAGTGCAATGCACATACACGCAGATTAGAAATAAGAGCTGAGACCAAAAAGATAAAGGTTTTTTTTAACAGATACATGGATCAGTCCCTGAACTCTACCCAAAGAGCAAACAATTAAATGTTGTGAGTGTTGCACTGGAGATTTACCAGTAACATTGGTGTTGGTAGTTGAAGAGTGAATGTTCTTGAGTAGATTTGTAGCTCAGGTTGTGGATGCTGTGGTTGGTTTGCATGCCAAGCTGGTTCATTGGTTCGCAGATGTTTCATTACCCTGCTGGGTAACATCATGGTAATGAAACATCTGCAAACTAACGAACCAGCTCAGCGTGCAAACCAGCCACAGCATGAACAGTCCCTGTCAAGATTCTTAGTTTTAGATTGGTTGAGATTCTGTCATTCTGATTCCCTTTGACTGTGCCTGAATCTCAGAAGTCAGGGTGAGAGATGGTCCATTTTTGTCCTGTTCCCTCTTGATTGGCTTGATAGCTACCTGACTTCTAGCACTCAGAGAGAGACAACTTCTTTATCTGTAGTATAGGAGTGACTGGGGGATAGTACCTTGACTGTGACCTTCACAGCACACTAACATTCAAACTCAGGCCAACGTGTGCAGATACCTTAGCTCACTGGCACATAGAAGAATCTCAGTCCCACTAGTGCCCTCCAGTGGAGGTGAAACTGGCTTTTTATGACCTATATTAATGTACTCTCCAAAGAGAAAAACAAAAATATGTTTGCAGTTGGAACTTAATCTGCAGATAGTGGCTTGCTGTTGAAGGAGGGGTCGGGGGTGTCATCTTTCCTTGTTAACTTCATAATCACAAGGGACCATGGTCTGTATTGACTTGTCTGTTCCCTCTTTAAACAATTGTTGTTTTAAGTTCTATTTGCATTTTTAGATGTTACTGTCCAGGGTCTGTCTGTCTCTCTCTCTCCAGACTGCAACTTAATTTAAATTTGCAGCCGTTGTTGTCTTTTTCTAAAAAAAAATACATTTTTGGAATTACAAGTTAAAAATGTCAATAGTACTTAGGTTTTTAACCCACAATCATGATAGAAGCAAGTTTAGCCTTCTTTCTTTCCAGGAGTACAGGACACTTCGGGGAAAACACAAACACCTCGGTAGAGAACAAAAACAGTTCTGAGGAAGGGTCACCGGACCCGAAACGTTAACTCTGTTTTCTCCTTCACAGATGCTGCCAGATCTGCTGAGCTTTTCCAGCAACTTTGTTTTTGTTCCTGATTTACAGCATCCGCAGTTCTTTTGGTTCTTACCTCAGTAGAGAAGTTTAGTTTGTGTCACTTCCAAACCAGTAGAGGTTGGTTATTAAACTTTACAGCAGGTTATTAAACACTGAGGTAGTTTAAGCTCTCAAGTATTATGAATACTCATGTAAGACGACGCCACAGTTCACAGCAAAGAAATGGGAGAATCAGTTCAGTACAACTTTTTGATATAGAGTACAAGGTTTGATATAGAGGGGTAATTTCTTTGGGATTGAGTTTCTGTAATGGATGGTGTTGGGAAACAGGTTGAAAAAAGCTTGGTTTTGCGATGTTAAATAAAATCTGCATCTTTCAGTGAATATGTTTCAGTGACTGACCATCACGTGAAAAAAAAATTTGAAAAGATCTGTCAAAACAGGTTTCATTCTGGGATCTAACTTCAGTGGCTCATCAGCTATGATATTAATAATGTTCTATGCCTCTTTCTAGGAGGAGAGCTGGATAAGTGAAAGGATGAAGAAGTTAAAAGACAATTCCTCTGCAGATGTTAGTGACCTGCAGGCCAAGCTGAAGCTGTTGCAGAAACACCAGGCCTTTGAGGCAGAGATCCTGGCCCATGAGGCCATCATTACAAGTGTTACTGAGGTATGGGTTACATTTCCTTTTTCCGTATCAGCGAGACAACAGTATACCCGGTACAGTGAAACCTGTTTGCTGAGTTGCTGGTGTTCCACAGTTTAGCTCATGTGACACTCTAACCCTATCACTCTAAACCCCATCTATCCTTCAAAGTCATTTCTGTTCAGCTCACTAGCACTGAGCTCAGTCTGGACCCAACTCAAGGGAGTGAATCCAATCAAATCTATTCCAGTGCTACTTCTCTGTACGCTGAAAGAGTGGTTTAACAGAGCACACATCCCCCAGACTTTCTCTGAGATAGCAAGAATTGCAGATGCTGGAGTCAGAGATACTGGAACACAGCAGGCCAGGCAGCACCAGAGGAATGGGAAATCCGACATTTTGAGTCGGGACCCTTCCTCAGAAATCATTCTGAGGAAGGGTCCCAACCCGAAACGTCAACTTTCCTGCTCCTCTGATGCTGCCTGGCCTTCTGTGTTCCTCCAGCTCCACACTTTGTTACCCCAGACTTTCTCCTTCTATTTAGCTTCTCAGGAAGGTCTTGGTACTTTCCTTGTCACGCGGCATATTGTATATGTCCCTGTGTATGCTGTCTCACACATTGTTTCTATCATGCTGCAGAGCACCTCCTGTGCAGTATCTCCTTGTTGACTGCAGCACGCTGACCTCTCAGTCCAAGGGTCAGAGGTTCAAACCTCTTTCCAGAATGCGCCGAAGAAGTGCTGTCTTTCACATGAGATGATGAGCAGAGTCTCAGGTCGATATAAAAGATCCCAAGGCATTATTGTACGACACATTTGAAGGGGAGGGGGGAGTTCTATTCGAATATCAAAGGAGTTCTGCCTGATGTCAATGAATTAGAGCCAGCCTTTCTATTGTCACATAGCAGAGGTCAACACATGACACTGCAGACAGGAAATTACACTTCTCAGTCAGATATTAGCTAACTGGACCATGTTCCATCTGTTGTTCATTTCTTCCAACTCAGCATAGGGAGGTCACAGTCAGGGAGTAATACAGCACGGAAATAGACCCTTCGATCTAACCAATCCATTGCTGACCATAATCCCAAAGTAAACTAGACCCACCTACCTGCTCATGGCCCATATCTCTCCAAACCTTTCCTATTCATGTACTTATCCAAATGTCTTTTAAAGGTTGTAATTGTGCCCACATCCACCACTTCCTTAGGAAGTTCATTCCACGCACAAACCACCCTCTCTGCGTAAATAATTTGCCCCTCGTGTCTTTTTTAAATCTCACTCCTCTCACCTTAAAAATATGCCCTCTAGTCTTGAAATCCCCCATTCTAGAGAAAGGCACTGCCATTCACCCTACCTATACCCCTTGTGACTTTTATAAACTTCTATAACGTCACCTCTCAACCTCCTATGCCCCAGTGAAAAAAGTCCCAGCCTATCCAGCCTCTCTCTCACCTTCCATTCCCAGCAACATTCTGGCAAATCTAAATCGAAAGAACTGCTGGAAATCAGAAACAAAAATAGAAATTGCTAGAAAAGCTCAGCAGGTCTGGCAGCATCTGTGGAGAGAAATCAGAGTTAACATTTCGGGACGAGTCAGAACTCCATACTGACGAAGGGTCACTCGACCATAATGTTAACTGATGTGACCCTTCGTCGGTATGGAGTTCTGACTCGTCCCGAAATGTTAACTGATTTTTCTCCACAGATGCTGCCAGACCTGATGAACTTTTCCAGCAATCTCTATCCTGGTATATCTTTTGGCTTGCTAGCTGAGTAAATTTGTTTTCCACCTCCGTCACAGACTATTTGCATCTCTTTATTATAACAAAGTGCCACGTATTTAACTTAATAAAGCCCAAACATATTATCCATACCAGTTTAAACTCTGGTTTCCAGCTTAGCTTTACACATGTTGACTTCATTTCTGTGTATGGGCATCTTTAGGTCTTATTCAGCATCTTCCAGTAAATGCAAGTCCTTTCTTTGGGCCCAGCACCTTTCATGACCCCATAACTCCTGCATGGCTGGTGCATCCTGTGGGTTATCACCATAGAGTCATAGAGATGTACAGCATGGAAACGCTGTTCAGTCCAACTCCTCCGTGCCAACCAGATATCCTAAGTTAATCTAGTCCTATTTGCCAGCATTTGGCCCATATTCCGCTAAACCCTTCCTATTCATGTACCCATCCAGATGCTTTTTAAACGTTGTAATTGTACCAGCCTCCGCCACTTGCTCTGGCAGCTTGTTCCATACATGCACCACTCTCTGTGCGATAAAGTTGCCCCTTCGGTCCCTTTTATATCTTTCCCCTCTTACCTTAAACCTATGCCCTCTAGTTTTGGACTCCCCCACCCTGGGGAAAAGACCTTGCCTATTCACCTTATCCATGTCCCTCATGATTGTACAAACGTCTATAAGGTCACCCCTCATCCTCCGAATATCGAGGGAAAATACCCCAACTTATTCAGCTTCTCCCTGGAGCTCAAACCGTGCAACTTCCAGCAACATCCTTGTAAATCTTTTCTAACCCTTTTCAAGTTTAACAACGTCTTTGCTATAGCAGGGAGATCAGAATTGCATGCAGTATTCCAAAAGTAGCCTTACTAATGTCCTGTACAGCCACAATATGATAACCCAACTCCTATACTCAATGCGCTGACCAATAAAGGCAAGTGTACCAACCTCACAGAGAGTTGTGTAGTTTGAGGATGTTCACCTGACTGTGCCCTGTTGAATTTTATAGACGGGTGAGCTACTGTTGAACGTGCGCCACCCCAACTCCAGCGATATCCGCCGAAGTATGAGGGTGCTGCTGGAACACTGGGAGCAGCTGAAGACTGCGGTGGCTGCGCGCGGGAAAATGCTGGAGGACAACCGGGATTTCCTAGAGTTCCTGCAGAAAGTCGATCAGGTCGAGGCATGGATCAGGGAGAAGGTAGGAGCGCTGGCAGATTACTCCACAACACACCAGCGGTTGCAGTTTTCCTGGGGCCCCAGAGTCATCCAGATAGCTCAATGGAAATTGGGCACTGCATTTTCCATGCACCAGTGGGAACTGTTGGCAAAGGAGCCTATCTCTCACTGTCATTCTCTGAACTTCGGGACATGACTTCCAATAACGTCGTGAAATGAGCACATTGTGACACCCCTGCCTCACTTTGACTCTGCTTAAACCATGAACCTGCTAGGTCCTACTTGGAGTATATTGTCTGTTTGAAGAGGCCACCTCACTTCTACCTTTTTGAAATTTTTCTACGCTTCCCAAACTAGCTTTGCGTCTCCATATTTGGCTCAGTTGAGTGTTATTCTGGGTCCATTAATGAATGCCACCCCCCCCGACTTTATATATACATGGCTATTTGATAAGGTCAGTAGTCAGTAACAGTGAGTAATGGTGCAAAATTATGGTAAGATAGATAGAAGGAGTTTCTACAGTTACTTCAGGAGCCAGGATTAATATTCCTCTTGCTGACGCTGAGACCAAGGCCACCTGGAGCACTGGGGTCTCTACAACCTCAGATGGAGCATTTGCCCATTCACCCGTCAGGGTGGAATAGAGTCAAAATGTCCATGTTCTGACGAGACCCCCTTGACCCTGTTCCTCTGGAATAATTCCATTCAATTTGTCATTTATGGATCAAATCAATTGTGCGTTGCTATTGAGCAGATATTTCCCTGACTTGCAGTTCCTAACTCTGTGTCGTTCATTTGTGTTCCATTCCATCCTGCACACGAACAGGAGGTGATGATCAATGTGGGCGATGTCGGCAAAGACTATGAGCATTGCCTACAGCTGCAGAAAAAGCTCAGCAAGTTCCGGGGAGCTGGGGTGAGTACCGTATCTCTGAGCACCAGCTCTGTCAATTGAGCCTCTGTCCATTGCTTTCCACACCAAGCATTACCAACTAGTATTGCTCACACCCCTTAAAGTAGAGAAATCAAGATGCAGCACTACGCTCACCTATCAACACAGAAGAAATCCAGGGCAGTTGGAGGATATGCTAAATGGAGAGGAAAGCTCCCTCTACACTGTCCCCATCAAACACTCCCAAAACAAGGACAGCATGGGGTTAGATACAGAGTAAAGCTCACTCTACTCTTTTAAACAGAAAGTGAAACTCCCCGTATGCACTGTCCTTAACAAACAGTCCCAGGATGAAGAAAACATGGGGATAGGTATGGAATAAAGCTCAGTCTACACTGTCCCCATCAAACACTGCCAGGACAGCTACAGCATGGGGTTAGATACAGAGTAAAGCTCCCTCTACACTGTCCCAATCAAGAGTAGGATTGCCTCTGTACTCTCCCCACTCACATGCTTCTATTCTAACCCTTCCTGTAATTTTAGAAGTTGTTTTTACTATTTTACAAACCAGTCATCCTTTGGGCTATCTGTGGGGAATATTAATTTATTTTCTCTCATTGCTGCATTATTGACAGTAAATTGAGATGAGACAAATTCTGTATTGGGTCACACCTTCTGCATCATTCATTAGAATCAATCCTGACATAACTCCACAGATTCACCTTTATCCCATGTCCCCCTGAGACCATTCTTCAACAGAAACTCATATTTACAGTTGATGCATCAATACTGATTTCCACACTTCCCTCACCCTCTGCATGAAGAAGTGCTTCCTAATTTCACTCCTGGAATGTCTGCACCTAATCTTTTGATAATACTCCTGAGAATTAAACTCCCTAACCAGCAGAAATAGTCCCGTCCTTCCTAGCCATTTCCCTTTAAAAACCTCAAATATGACAATCAGACCACCTGTCAACCATCAAACCCCCAGGGAAAACAACCCTACTTTATGTAAGAGATAGTAGGAACTGCAGATGCTGGAGAATCCGAGACAACAAGGTGCAGGGCTGGATGAACACAGCAGGCCAAGCAGCATCATAGGAGCAGAGAGGCTGACATTTCGGGCCTAGACCCTTCATCAGAAAAGGTCTCTCTGTGTAATTCAACCCTTGAAGATTCGGGATCATTGTGGAAAATCTGTCCCTCCTGAATTGTGACTCCCAGAAACTGTAGGTGCATCTAAAGCTGTAACATGACAACCAGCTCCATGTACTCCATTCCTCTAAACACAAAAGTCAACATTCCATCAGCTGTTTTTGCTCATCTTTCGTGCCTGTTTCTGACATTTTCGTGATCTGTGCACCTGAGCTTTCAAGTCTCTTTTGGGCCTGTCCTGTTTCCAGTTTTTGACTATTTAGGGCGAACTCTGCTCCATCCAATTTTTAGGTTCAGAGCAAATGACCTCACGTTTGAAATAATTTGTCGGGTTTTATTTCCCCCATTCTCATATCTCTTTGTGATGGTATGTTTTCATCTGCAGTGCTTACAATGATGAATCGTTTTCTGCAGTTCTGAATTGCTGTCTCTCAATCCCATCACTTGGGGAATAGTATCAAATGCCCTCAGGGGTTCCATACAAATAACACAATGTACGTCAATAATGTTCTCGCCTTCTTTTAAAACTCTGGAATATAAAACCATCCAGTCTTGAGAATTTGTTATTCATTAGTGCCATTATATTTGTTTATGCCTGATATGCTCCTTAAGCTAATATGAACATGTCCCTGGGTCAAAATTGCTTCAGGATGTCAGTGTACTGATGCAACGTAATTGTTCAACATCTCCTCCGTTTTCTTATATTCATCAATACTATCAGCATTAGCCATTTTCAAGAGGCCCCAATTACCCCTGGGCATTCTATATTTCCCAACATCATTGGTTGTCCTCATTGTGTTGATCATTATTGTAAATTGTTTTTTGTGGATCTTGGCATCCTTTCCCATTTTTTGCAGCCTATAAAGTCTGTTTTATCGCACTTTGTGCTTTCTAGTCACTAGGGGCTGCATTAATTTCTGCGTCTGTGTACATATTTTCAGGATTTTATGTAACCGCTTTACCCCTCTAGTTGTCCACAGCTGTCCTTCTTGGCAAGCAGAACCCCCCACACCCCCCCAGCCCTTATCAAGAAGCAAGAATAAAGATTCCCCCCCACCCCATTCCCTGGTGATCTTCTGTTATTTAACTGATTAACAGTCTCTGCCTTATCGCATCAAAATCCTCTTATGTAAATCAAGAATTTTAGAAGCTGTTTCTGATTGGACAAGAGAGGGCAATCTTGCAATTTCTCAAGCTGTGTACATGCCCAGGTCAGTCTGTGTGCTTTCGGACAGCACTTAAAGGTTGTTGGAAAGCACTTCACTGCCAAATACGTTGCAGTAAGTACAAGAATCTCTCCGAAAAGATGCATAGCAGGGAGTGACATGGTGGCTCAGTGGTTAGCACTGCTGCCTCACAGGGCCAAGGCCCAGGGTTTGATTCCAGCCTTGGGCGACAGTCTGTGTCGAGTTTGCACATTCTCCCTGTGTCTGCGTGGGTTTCTTCCCGGTGCTCTGGTTTCCTCCCACAGTCCAAAGATGTGCAGGGTAGGTGGAGAGGTCATGCTAAATTGCCCATATTTTCATGGGATATCTAGGTTGAAAAGCTCAGCTACTACCCCTCTGATTGGCCTGCAGCTTGAAGAGGTGGGACACCCTACCTCGGTGTGCGAGGCAACACAGAAGCCAATGAATTGCCATGGCAACCACAAAATCCAATTGTGCCTTCTAGGACCATGTAGGTCATCCCTGGGTGAGACATTTCGGTGAAGTAGATAGATTGGAGAAGCTGAGATTGTGTTTATTGGAGAAGAGAAGGTTAAAAGAAGGTTTGATATAGGTCTTCAAAACCGTGTGGGAGAAACTGTTCCAGTTGCTGGAAGGATTGAGAACAAGAGGGCACAAGTTTTGGGAAAATGGCTGCATGAGGGGAAACTTTCTCACCTGCTTAAGATCTGGAGTGCACTGTCTCAGTCTGTGCTGGAGGCAAATCGATTTGAGGCTTTCAAGAGGGAATTAGACTATTGACTGAAAAGTCAGAACATGTAGGTTACGAGGCAAAGGCAGGACACTGGCACTAAGGGGGTAGCTCATTCGGAGAGGCGGAGCAGACATGATGGGCTGAATGGTCTCCTGGAGTGTTGTGTACTGATTCTGTGATGGGAGTGCTACAGACTGGCACAACAGGTTCAATAAGATAGCACTGAGCAGGCGATCTCTGAGGTAGCCATAACCAGCCATGCCGGCAGATGCCCAGCAGGAACAAGTGAGTGGGTACCCTGAAGGATCCATGGGAAGTGTGCAGATGGGCCAGTATTGGCGGAAATTGATGTGGCAATGAGAGCAGAGGAGAAAGTACGGGAATTCACTTTCATGTTCCCTTACAAATATTAGAGAGTAGGACATTGTCATCCACACTGACTCGTCTCTGTGATCTCTTGTAGGATTTGACAGTGGATGATGCACACATCAAAACCATCAACAGCCTGGCCACCCGCCTGGAGAAGCAGAATAAAGACGACATCAGGACTGTCCAGCAACGCAAGCAGCAGCTGAACGAAAAGTCAGTCAAACTCCTATCCCTATCCCTTCCCCTTCACCCCACCCCCGCTCTCATAAGCCAGTCCCTGGCACTGCCTCAATAACAATGAGCTGAGAGGTTCCTGGAGGGCTCCACCATTCGATTCTGACTTGTGTTTACTTTGTTGGAGAGCCATTCCAGTTTGACCTGCTTTTAGGGCAAGCTGGGACCAAAATCCCACCTGTGTCACTGTTCCTGACCAGAAGTCAGTAACCACAGCCCACCCCGTCTTGAATATCCCACTGGCTCTCAATCGATAACGGTCCACTTCACTTCAAACTGGGAATTGTCATTCATCCAGCTCTGGATCGCAATGGGTTCTACTTCATTCCAATCATTGAAGCAGCTTCTTAGAGGGATTCTCATCAGTATCCCTTCCTGAGACTGGGGAGGTGGGAAGGGGTGGGGGATTGGGGGGTTGGGGGAGTGAAATCGCTGCACAAAATAATCTTGGAACTGCAGAGAATCCGATGATTTCATTTCAACAATAGCCCAGATTTTCCGATGGCCGGGCGGTCGTTATGCCAATGTAGATGGGATTTGTGTGTGGGCACTCCAAGGGATCTTCATCATACCGCACTCTGAGGGAACGCCAGGGAAATTGATATTTCCGCTGGGCAGTGCCTCAACGCTACAATGATTCCGAAAATCTCCAATTAAATCGAAGACTTCGGGTGGTTCTGATGAAATTAATAAAATGGTTACGCGGGAAAAGTTAATAGTGTTAAATATATCATCTGACTTCTGAATATCTATTGAGCACACCCCGTATCGAACTCATCCTCTAAACCACAGCATCCGAGACCACTTACACTGCCCAGACCCTGACCTGACAACACCCCCCTCCTCTCCAGGACCTGAACTCCTCTACCCAGACATTACCGGGTCTGCTCTCTGTCTGCCCATCCCTTGCTGGGACCTGACCTCGCCTCACAACCCCCCCTGCCCCAGAGGCCCGGTAGCATCCCCCCCAACCCCCACTCCACTCACCTGCAGACCCAAGACTTTCCGGAATAATTGGACAACGTAGTGCTCCAAGTCAGAGGCGTCATACAAAACTGTGGCCTGGAATGTCACTTTCTTCAGGAAAGAAGAGAGGAGGTTAATCAGATGAATGTTCCCCCTTCCGGTGTGATGTTCATTGCTGTTTACTGAGGTAGTAATGTACAGATGACCCCAGGTTTATGTGTCAAGCTAACTTCCGTAACACAGTGTCAATAGTAAGACTAACGGGTGCCTCAGTTCCTGTCAGTTTTGCTCCCATATTGACTGTGGGTATTAGAAGGGCCGAATGGCATCTTTCCACTTTTAGGGATTCTATGAAATGTGACGTCTGCACCATTTTGCCCATCTGTCCCCTCGCTCCACAATGTGTGATGACCTTCAAATGTCGACAGTCTGTGCGTCACAAGTCTACTCCCTGCTGTCTGTCTATCTTCTCACTCTTGGTCAACACTGTCTATTCTTGGGGAGGTACATGCTGCGATTCCCTCCCCAGGATGTCCATGTTATTCAGATCGAAGTCAGTGAGCAGTAACAGGTTGCCAACTCTGATTAAACCTATTCCTAAAAGGTCTGATCACGTCTTGTCACCCAGGCTCCACCCTTGTGATGTACCTTCTCCCTAGAAACGGAGTGTAATAACCAAAAAACCTCACTACCCATCTGGATGGGGTTTGACTCTCAAACTCCCTCTTTCTCGATATTTTTATATTTAGTAAGGAGAAACATTCAAAGAAAATGACAACTAAACCCTTCTAAGGTCCCTGTGATTTTTTTTCTAGGCTGTGTCATTGAATTACCATGGCCTAACCTACACATCTTCGGACTGTGGGGGGTGGGGGGAACCCACACAATACAGGGAGAACGCTGCTGCAAACCCCACACACACAATCACCTGAGGGTGGACACGATCCCAGGTCCTCGGTGCTGTGCCACTGTGCTGCCCGGAGACTCCAGGCCGATCCTCAGCGTTGGCCACCCTAAAAGATCAGCAGCCATTTTCATTCCGCCTCATTTTCTTCTCCAGCGAAGTTGCAAGAAGTTTAGGGACTGGAGTTAAATGGGCTGCGATTTGCTTTCAGTGATTCCGTTCAGTTCGAGAAGAGCGACTCATCCAGCCTTGGCATTCCTTATTTAAGCAGAGGTTGGTTCTATTCTGGAGCTCCTTGCTTCGTGTATTCCCCCGCCTGCCTGCTCACTGCGCTATCCATTCCATGCCGGCCACCTCCCAAGCCATTGGCGCCCCACCTGACTCACTGCCGGCACTGCCTCTCGTTTCAGGTGGGACAGTTTCCAGGGAAACCTGAACAAGTACAAGAAAAAACTGGCAGCAGCTTTGGAGGTTCACGCCTTAATCAGAGAAATGGATGACCTTAAAGAAAGGATGGGTGAAAAGGTGAGAGCTGTGTCAGTGCAATTGTACAGGGTTCCCCCGCCAATGTTACAACTGAGGACAAACCCAGTCTTGAGTAGCTCGTCCTTCATCAGTTCCCACTGAAGGATCTATCCCGAGTGTAAAGAAGCTGTATGAAATGACATATTGAAATTGACAGCTCCATGAGGCTGTGTGGTCAATGCAGGTTCTAACAGTTCACACTGGTTCTGGACTCAGTTCATCAATGGGAGGAAGGGAGGAATGTAGCTGCGGAGGGGCGGAAGAGGTGAGAGCCCCGGCTCCTGTCTCAGCATTCTGATATTTGTAGGATAATTTGTTTTATTTATTCTTGCATGGGATGTGGATGTCATCGTCTGTCGCCCATCCCTAATTGCCCTTGAACTGAGTGGCTTGCTAGGGCCATTTCAGAGAGGGCAGTTACCCAGCACATGCAAGTTCCCCTCCAAGCCGCTCACCATCCTGACTTGGAAGTATATCGCCAGTCCTTTACTCTGGCTGGGTCAGAATCCTTGAATTGCCTCCCTAAGGTGCATTTGTGGGTCAACCCACAGCACATGGACTGCAGTGGTTTGAGGAGCCAGCTCACCACCACCTTCTCAAGGGGCAACTAGGAATGGGCAATAAATGCTGGGCCCAGCCGGTGATGTCCAAATTGCATGAGTGATTTTTTTTGTTTTGAAAAGAAACAATATTTTGGATCCAAAGTTGCATGTGGGCCACACCAGATAAAGACTTCCTTCCCTGAAAGGGCGTTAGTGAGCTACACGAGTGTTTATGACGATCGATGATGGTCTCATTGTCTTCGTCACTGAGGCTGAGCTTTATATTCCAGATTCATTAATCGAATTCAAAATCTATGAACCACTGTGGTGAGATTTGAACCTGTGTACCAAAAGCATTAGCCTGGGCCTCTGGATTACTAGGACATAGCAAGAACTGCAGATGCTGGAGTCAGAGTCGATACAGTGTGGAGTTGGAGGAGCACAGCAGGTCAGGCGGCATCAGAGGAGCGGGAGAGTCGATGTTTCGGGCCTAGATCAGGACTGATGAAGGGACTAGGCCCAAAACGTCGACTTTCCTGCTCTTCTGATGCTGCCTGACCTGCTGTATTCCTGCAGCTCCACACTGTATTGACTCTGGATTACTAGTCCAGTGCCATTAACAGCACATCAGCACAGCCACATGGCCCTCTGGAGGAGTCAGCTGCACAGGGTGACAGCCCATGGTTTGAGCAGGGCAAACCCATTGACTGCCCGTTTCTGTCGACAGAGCTTGTTGATGCAAGGTCTGGACTACGGCCGAGACGTGGCGACTGTGGAGAAACTGATGAGGAGGCATAAAGAAACTGAGCTGGAAATCACAGTCATCCAGGACAAGGCAGAGGTGAGTGTTTCTCGTGGAGCTGAAAGCAACAGTGCCATTCAGATCTTACCTTTCTCTCCTTTACTTCTCCATTCTCTCCCACAACTAGGAATTGGCTGCCAGTGTTCATCAATGGGAAGCAGCTAATCACCTTAGCAGAGGGGTCCATGACTAGGGAGCATAGATTTAAAGTCATTGGTAGGATGAGAGGGAATTTGAATATCCTCTACCTCAGAGGGCACTGGGTTTCACTGCCTGAAAAGGGGAGTCAAGGCAGTAACCCTCAACCCGTTTAAAAGACGTCAGGACCTGCCCCTGAATTCCTATAACCCCCAGGGACACAGACCTAGAGCTGGGAAGTGGGGGGTGTAGTCGGGAGCCCGGAGAATATCGGCTCCAGTTTATTGGCTTATACAGAAAGGAGAAGAGCCCATTCTTGTAACCTCACAAATTTCTTTATTAACGTATTAAACAAGACACGTGTTGCTTAAGTGGTTTTATCACAAAACTTGACCTCATACATTTTCCCACAAACTGAACTAGGCCCTACTTATACACCCACTTAGGGTCCTCTGACAGTCCCCAAATAGTCACAGATTATAAAAGCTAATACCCAATCAGGATTGCTGCAGCTGATGAGAGCTAACACTGGCCAGGCGCTGCACTCGATGCTGTCAGCACATCCTTGATGCGGGGCCTACTTCTGTGATGGTTGGTGTCCGGAGTTTTGGCGGCTGCTTACCCCAAGGGTCGTCTTTTTATTCTTTTCTCTTATCTCTCTCAAGTCGTGCTGTTTCCTTCCCGTTGGCTCAGGCTAATTCACTTATCTCATACCTTTACCTTATTGCCCTTGGCCCACAGACTTAAGTAGCTATACCTCATTATTTCTCATCCAAATAAGGCTTTTGCATTCCCTCCTCTTTCTTACTTTTTGCAGAGCTTAGTTCATTCAAGCTGGTTTAAATCGGCTCAAACTAGCAGCTGGGCACAGGTCATTTTTAGTTCACAAGCTACTTCTTTCTTCATGTCAGGACCCCTGCATTCAGTACCTCCTATTAGCAATGTTGGCGGCTGGTACCCCTCTCTCTCTATCTCTCTCTCTCTCTATCTCTCTCTCTCTCTCTTTCTGCAGCCTCTGGCTAATGTCTCCCCAGGGAGCGATGTCAGCAGCTTGTACCTTTCTCTAGCGAGTGAGGCCTGGGAGGGGCTCTTTTTTTATTTCTGGCTGGCATGGACATGATGGGCAGAATGGCCTCCTTCCGTGCCGTAAATGTTTCTACATTTTCAAACTATCTCGACGTGGAATGCGCAGGGAAGTGGGAGCGGCAGTAGCGGAAATGTTTCTCAGGAGGGTCAGCATGGAGAGACAGGCTTTCTCCCTATCGATTCGCTAATTCTATGGAATGGTCAATGGAAGCTCCTGGCATTTTGTTCATGTGGCCATTCTATGTATTTGAGTCTTGACAACGAGAGTTAGCAGAGAGGGAAGCCACAATGCTGCTGCTTACGCATGATGTAACTGGCCATCCTAAGAAAAGAGAACAAATGTGCGTTTCTAAAGCACGTTTTATCACTTTGAGACATTCCAAAGTGCTATACAACCCATGAGCTTGTCATACGAGGAGCAGTTGAGGACTCTGGGTCTGTACTTGATGGAGTTTAGAAGGATGAGGGGGCGGATCCAATTGAAACTTACAGAATACTGACAGGCCTTTTATCACAGAATGAACCTGGTGAAGACGTTTCCACTCGTAGAAGAGACTAGGACCCAAGGGCGCAGCCTTTCTGAAGGGATGGCCCTTTAGAACTGAGATGAGAAGGATTTTCTTCAGCCAGAGGGTGGTGAATCTGTGGAACTCATTGCCACAGAAGGCTGTAGAGGCGAGTCATTGAGGGTATTTAAGATGGGGATAGATAGGATTTTCATTTGTAAGAGGATCAAGGGGATGAGAAGAAGGCAGGAGAATGGAGTCGAGAAACATATCAACCATGATCGAATGGTCAAGCAGACTTGATGGGCCGAATAGCCTACTTTTGCTCCTATATCTTAGGTCTTACATCCTTTTGTCTGTAACATAGCAAATGTGGCTGACATCTTTACACACAGTAAGTTCCTGCAAACAGCAACTTGATAATGACCAGGTCACCTGTGTGAGGTATTGCTTGTTTCCAGGGAAAGCTGCCCTGCCGTTCTGCAAAGATCATCCTCGGGCCATTTTAGCTTGAGAAAGCAGACCGGGTTTCAGTTTGGCATCTCATCTGAAAGTCGGCACCTCCGTCACAGCAGCGCACTCTCTGTACTGCAGTGGAGCGTCGTCTGAACTTCCTTCCAACAACATCTCACTTTGTTTGGTGCTCCCCGCATCTCCGCAGTGGCAACATTGTGAAAGTGCAGGTTGTTTAATCACCGAAGGCGGTGGCCATTCGGCCCATTGTGTGTGCACCGAATCTGGCAAAGGAAGAAGTAGGGGCCAGTCTGTCTTGCACAGCATTCGATTTCGTCACCGTGCCCAGAACAGCATGAGTGCAGCTTCCCTTTCACAGACCAGCACCACCCCCTCTCAGGTGGAAACTGGTTCGTGTCCACGTGTTCCCATTTTGTATCAGCAGCTCTGCATTTTGATTCGAGCGTACTGTCACTGCCTGGTGCACTGGAAATCAAACCCTGCTATTCCCCGCATCACAAAAGTTAGAGTTTGAGATAAGTATGCAAACTTCCCAAATTTAGCTGACTTTTGGACACCGGTTACAGAAAGCATAGATCAGTTTTCTGTACTTAGACATGGATTATTGTTTATTACAAGTTTTTAGATTCTAGCCACAGGTAAACGGGTATAAATTGTATCAGAGATAGTAGGAACTGCAGATGCTGGAGAATCCGAGACAACAAGGTGCAGAGCTGGATGAACGCAGCAGGCGAAGCAGCATCATAGGAGCAGGAAGGCTGACGTTTCGGGCCTAGACCCTTCTTCAGAAATGGGGGAGGGGAAGGGGGTCCTGAAATAAATAGGGAGAGCGGGGGAGGCGGATGGAAGATGGGTAGAGGAGAAGATAGGTGGAGAGGAAACAGACAGGTCAAAGAGGCAGGGATGGACGAGAGAGTTGCAGTGGGAGAGAGATCCCCTGAGGTTTGTCCGGAGGGAGGAGAGTAACTTTTTCAGGTACCTACGCTGGCCCTAAACCTCACCTCTTCCTCCGTTACATTGATGACTGTATCAGCGCTGCCTCGTGCTCCCACGAGGAGCTCGAACAGTTCATTCACTTCACCAACATCTTCCACCCCAACCTTAAGTTCACCTGGACCATCTCTAACACCTCTCTCACCTTCCTGGACCTCTCTGTCTCCATCTCGGGCAACCACCTAGAAACCGATATCCATTTCAAGCCAACCGACTCCCACAGCTACCTAGAATACACCTCCTCCCACCCACCTTCCTGCAAAAATGCTATCCCCTATTCCCAATTCCTTCGCCTCCGCCGCATCTGCTCCCAGGATGAGGCATTCCACTCTCGTATATCTCGGATGTCCTCGTTTTTCAAGGACCGCAACTTCCCCCCCTCAGTGGTCGAGAACGCCCTCCACTGTGTCTCCCGCATTTCCCGCAACTCATCCCTCACACCCCGTCCCCGCAATAATAACCAAAAAAGAATCCCCCTCATCCTCACGTACCACCCCACCAACCTCCGGATCCAACGCATCATCCTCCGACACTTCCACCATCTGCAATCCAACCCCACCACCAAAGACATTTTTCCCTCCCCACTCTTATCTGCTTTCTGGAGGGACCACTCTCTCCGTGACTCCCTCGTCCGCTGCACACTCCCCTCCAGCCCCACCACACCTGGCACTTTTCCCTCCAACCGCAGGAAGTGCAACACCTGCCCCCTCACCCCCATCCCAGGCCCCAAGAAGACTTCCCACATCAAGCAGATGTTCACCTGCACATCTGCTAATGTGGTATACTGCATCTGCTGTATCCATTGTGGCCGCCTCTACATCGAGGAAACCAAGCGGAGGCTCGGGGACCGCTTTGCAGAACACCTACGCTCGGTTCACAATAAACAACTGCACCTCCCAGTGGCGAACCATTTCAACTCCCCCTCCCATTCCTCAGACGACATGTCCATCCTGGGCCTCCTGCAGTGCCACAACGATACCACCCGAAGGTTGCAGGAACAGCAACTCATATTCCGCTTGGGAACCCTGCAGCCCAATGGTATCAATGTGGATTTCACAAGCTTCAAAATCTCTCCTCCCACTACCGCATCCCAAAACCAGCCCAGCTTGTCCCCGCCTCCCTAACCTGTTCTTCCTCCCACCTATCCCCTCCTCCCACCTCAAGCCGCGCCCCCATTTCCTACCTACTAACCTCATCCCGCCTCCTTGACCTGTCCGTCCTCCCTGGACTGACCTATCTCCTCCCTACCCCCCCACCTACACTCACCTTTACTGGGTCCTCCACGCTTACTTCTTCAACTGTGAACCTAACCCTCCCTCTACTGACCCCTTCTCCCGCCTCCAACACACCGCCTCCTCCTGGACACCACCCCAAGGCCTCCTACCCTCCCTTGACATCTTCATCTCCAACTGCCATTGAGACATCAATTGCCTCAATCTGTCCACCCCTCTCTCCCTCACAGAACGTGCAGCCCTCCGCTCCAATCCCAAACTCACAATAAAACCCGCGGACAAGGGAGGCGCAGTTGTAGTATGGCGCACTGACCTCTACATCGCCGAGGCCAGGTGCCAACTCTCCGACACCTCCTCTTACCGCCCCCTTGATCATGACCCCACCCCCGAGCACCAAACCATCATCTCCCAAACCATCCACAACCTCATCACCTCAGGTGACCTTCCACCAACGGCCTCCAACCTCATCGTTCCCCAACCCTGCACCGCCCGCTTCTATCTCCTTCCCAAAATCCACAAACGTGATTGCCCTGGTCGACCCATTGTCTCTGCCTGCTGCTGCCCCACCGAACTTATCTCTATCTATCTCAACTCCATTTTCACCCCTTGG